TGACAAAGTATGCCAATATGGAAAAATGAGTAGCAAAGTTAAGTTCTGGGAAAAATTTGTTTAGTTTATGTAAGATTGTGTACATTTGATTTTCACAAAAGTGAAAGTTAGTGTTCCTATTTATGATATTGATGAAATATTCATGAAGAAGACATTTTAAGAATAAAAGTCTGATACATATATTCAGTTGCCTAAAGAAAAGTGTAAAGTGTCCTTACTCTTTATCAGTATTAGTGTTTCCAGTAGTTATATATCCTTTCTGTTATCTATATACCTCAATCCATTATATGTACTCACATTTTAATATTTGTCATGTGTTTCAGGGTGTTGATGATGCCTTCTATACATTAGTTCGAGAAATTCGAAAACATAAAGAAAAGATGAGCAAAGATGGTAAAAAGAAGAAAAAGAAGTCAAAGACAAAGTGTATAATTATGTAAATACAATTTGTACTTTTTTCTTAAGGCATACTTAAGTAAAAGTGGTAATTTTTGTACATTACACTAAATTATTAGCATTTGTTTTAGCATTACCTAATTTTCTGCTCCATCTGAACTGTTAAGCTTTTATCTTGAATGCTTATTTTAAAATGACAGTGGAAACTTTTTTTCCTCTAAGTGCCAGTATTCCCTGAGTTTTGGTTTTTGAACTAGCAATGCCTGTGAAAAAGAAACTGAATACCTGAGATTTTGGTCTTGGGGTTTTTGGTGCATGCAGTTGATTACTTCCTATTTTTCTTAACCAATTGTGAACTTTGATGTGAAACAAATTAATGAAGCTTTCGAATCATCCCTATTCTGTGTTTTATCTAGTCACATACATGGATTAATTACTAATTATAACTTCAGTTGAGATTTCATGATTGGTTTTACTGAAACATTGAGGGAACATGAATTTATGGGCTTCTTGTAGATTCATCTTGTAGGTATAATGTCCTATAGTTTCAGTCACCCTTAATGAATGTAAAGTTAACACTGTTCACAAAGGTTTTCTCCATCTTTCACTGCTATTTGTCATAGTCACGCTCCCAAAAATATTATATTTTTTCTATAAAAAGGGAAAAAAATGGAAAAAAATACAAGGCAATGGAAAATATTAAAAGGCATTTACTTTCCATATTAGATAAATTCCTATAATACTCTGAATAGCTTTTCCTGTTAAGGCAGACCCAGTATGTAATGAGGATTATTGCAACCATTTTGGGGCTATATTACATGCTACTAAATTTTTGTATTAATTGTAAACATTTTAACATGTATAAAAAATTCCCATAGGAATTAAATACAGTCTCCCTGTGTCAGATTGCTCTTTCTTAGCATAACTTTAAATCTTTTCTTGATCTTTGGTCTTAGAAAATAGTTTTAATTCTGGTAGTGACGTTAAAGATTATTTGGGCCAGTTAGCTTTAGTAGATGTTAAAGAGACCAAGGTTGCAAGGCCAGGCTTTGTGTAAATCTTTGAGCTTCATTAAGAGTTTCATAGTATGGACTGGCATCCCTGTGGTCTCCCAGTGTTGTCATGAATTGGGTGATCAGAAATGGGGATGAGGAGAGTTTGGATAAGATGCATCCTCACTATGTGGTAGTCCTGCTGACAGATCAGGAACATCACTTTTGTTTAAAAAAAAAAAAAACAACCAATAGAACTTTTTAAAAACATTTCAATTAAGATTTTGGGGTGGGGGTGGCAAGACTTTAATTTTTTTTTTAAAACAATGAAGTGAAAAAGTTTCAAAATCTTTAGTATTGGCTAGTTCTCAACACTGGCTAAAGTAACATTTCATACACACTTTGCAAGTATGGTCCGTATTTAAGAATATCTAATGCTTAAATAATAAATTAATAACAGTGATTCTTTCAGTGCATTTAAAATGTGTTTTTAAATATCTCAAGTGAGATGGTGTGTTGAGGTGAAAATATCACTGGACTAGGAGGAAGGTGACTTAGATTCTAGTTACATGTCTTTTACAATTTCAGTTTTGGGCAAATCACTTACTATCCATTTCTTCATGTTAAAAGAAGTCATCTCAGGCTTAGCTAGCATTACAACTATGTGATTTACCTTCAGTTTACATAAGGATATACCGATTTGTCAATCTCAGCACAATCTGTAACTTTTTACCTGTGTTATCTTCAACGCCAGTCTTAGACAAAGTTGTGCAAGAGGTGAAGTTTATTTTTGACTCTCTGTTCTCCAGTAGCAGTACTCCTCTCCCATATTAGTGTCATCTTGCCTGCCTACCCTTCTACATGCCACATGACTTTCTTCTAATTCCCCTAACCTCAAGATTTATTGCTGCTTTGGGTATCTCCCTGAAGGCTTCCCATTAAGTCACATTGTTCAGGCTCAACATAACCTGACAGATACTGTAGTAGGATTTGACCTAATAGCTAATTTTCAGGTGGTAGCTATAGCAATTTAATTTTGATCCTTTGAACATCATCTCTTTGCTACCTGGTCAACTAGTGGCTAAGTAGGAAAAGTAGGATTTTTCATACCTGCTAAGAATAGACAGACCCTATCCAGTAGAAGAATTTAATAAATTTAATTAATAAATACTGAAAGATTCCTTAGATAGTCTAAAACTAGGACTAGACCTGGTAACAGTGATACATTCCATTATTTTAATAAGTAAAATCTTCTTACAATGAAAAATACTTTAAAATTTAATTCATAAAGCTTTTTAGCAGAATTCATTTATCCAGCAAATATTTGAGTGCCTATTGGATGCCAGGTACTGCACAAGGCAGTGGGGATACTACATAGTATCCCCAACAAGGGACCTAATTCCTATCCTTAAGTAGTGCTGATATTTTAGAGTGGTCTGTAATCTTAGTGAGGCATTTGGCACATGACCCAGAGATAAGATAATGCATATTTTAGTTTTGCAAAGAAGGGATATGGTCTCTAAGGTTTCTTCCAGTTCTAAAATGATTGTTTCGCTCTGATTCCAATAAAGCTGTTTAATCAAGCTACTTTATATAAATCACTTTACTTCATTATTTTAAGGGAGTAAACTTGACTATATTTTTTATTTGGGATAATTATGTGACTTTATTGGGACAATTGTAGTATACATTAAATCGTATGTCAGATGATAACATTAAAATTCCCAAGTGTGTAACATTCTAGTTGGTCTCTGTATCATAATTAAAATAGACTTAAATATTGAATTCAAAAATAGTTTTATTTATCTGGGTATGAATAAACAGATGCCTGAACTAATTCACAGAAAAGGAAACTTCTGTGTAAAATTCAGTCCAATTTCTGAAATGCTATGCTAAACTACAAGTTTATGGAACATTATCTAGATAGTGTGTTAAGACTTTATATAGTACTTCCTCTTGTTTCTACACAAGAGAAAGAAATGGCCATACTTCAGGAATTGCAGTGCATAACTGAGGGATTTTTAGGACTCTTGAATTTTTTGATGTAGCTGGGCAACTTTTTTTAGGCAGTGGTAATCATCCTTTATTATGTGAATTTTGAATGGTTTGACAAAAGGTTTGTTTTTGTAGAGATTTTAAAAGGGGAGCGATAATCCTAGAAAAAAGTACTATGTAATTATTACGGCCTTAAAGATAAAAATCCTTGGAGTTGAAAAAATTGCTAAATTACATAGTCTTAGACATTAACATGTTTGTGGAAGAACATAGCAGAAGTATGTAGTATAATTTGAGTGAATATTCCCAATTAGGAATTCTAGGCTCTATTTTAACTGAGTCACACTGCATAGGAATTTAGAACCTAACTTACAGGTTATCAAAATCTTTGCCACCATTGCACAATTTTGTCCTAATATATATAGAAACTTTTGTGAGGCATGTTCAGTTGCAGTTTGCACAAGTTCATCTCATTTGTGTTCCAGTGATTTTTTTTCTTCTAACCATTTTTTTTTTTCAAAACAATAAACACACATTGCTTTTTTGGTAGGCAATAAAAACTGTCATTTCCATTGTCAAAAGTAATTTCTTGATAACTGTATTAATGGTTTTTAAAAAACCATCTGTTACTTTAAAACTGCATTTATATTTAATAACTTCTGTATTAGTGTTGGGTAGCATGAAATCTGCATTGAGAAATTGAACAGCATACAACTGGTAGCTGTAAATTCCTTCAGAAAATGAAAATTATTTCTTCCTAAAGATATATTTACATCAGTTCTTGAAGAGTAGTTATAACTAGATTAATAACTGTTTTAGTTTAATAGTTTTAAGTGCCTGTTTGGGATGATAGGCAATTTTGATGAATTTAGGAAAAAACAAAGTTCTAACTTACAGAAATGTCCATTACAGAGGGTTGCCCTCCCCATAGAGCTAAATGGGTTATGTAATGTTTTATCCAAAAGTTTCCAATTCCACTGTCTTGTGTTTTCATGTTGAAAATACTTTTGCATTTTTCCTTTGAGTGCCAATTTCTTACTAGTACTATTTCTTAATGTAACATGTTTACCTGGAATGTATTTTAACTATTTTTGTATAGTGTAAACTGAAACATGCACATTTTGTACATTGTGCTTTTTTTTGTGGGACATATGCAGTGTGATCCAGTTGTTTGCCATCATTTGGTTGCGCTGACCTAGGAATGTTGGTCATATCAAACATTAAATTTAAAAATGACCACTCTTTTAATTAAAATTAACTTTTAAATGTTTATAGGAGTATGTGCTGTGAAGTGATCTGAAATTTGTAATATTTTTGTCATGAACTGTACTGCTCCTAATTATTGTAATGTAATAAAAATAGTTATGGTGACTATGGTAGTGTGTACTTCTTGAAATTTGAAACATTTGCCCCACAGTTGATATGGAATAGTTTATAAGCCACAGACCCTATTATTAGTGAATCTTTTGCAGCTTATATGTTAGATATATTCTTTATTTGTGAAAGGTGCTGTGAACATTATGTAAAGGTTTAAGTGTTTGCTTAAAACCATGTTAGATTTAGGTCCATTACTGTGTTAACTCATTAAGAAGTAGATGCAAAACAGATCTGCCTTTATGATGAAAGAACTGAATAACATTATTTATTACTTTTTATCAGTAAAGGTAATTGATACACAACAGGTGACTTGTTTTAAGACCCAAAGGGAGCCAGAAGCAAAATTAATAATGGAAGATATTAAATAGGTATGTATATAATGCCAATCCCTGGCAGCCTACTTCAAGATCAGAAATAATCTTACTCCATACATATTATTTCTATAACTGCACTTAAATCATTACCATGTGCTATTTGTTTTGTAGTGAACCTTGAATGTGTGCTATTAATGTACCAAATAGGTTCAAAAATAAGGAAATAAGATGGTACTCCTTCAAAAGTTAAGGGAAATTAATGTGCAATAAATTATTTTGCTTAGTTACATGCATTAAATGGCATTCTCTTGTCAGTAAAATGGAGAAATGGGCTAAGAATAATTGGTAAAACTTAATAAAATTATTTTAAGTACATTATATTTTCATTCAAAATTGGGTACTCATTAATTTTTAATTTGTAGTTGGCTATATTGCTGGTTTTATATAAAAATTAAACATTAAGGATTGCTGATAAAGCTCTGTGAACAGAAGTTGAAACCTATTTTAGTTCATTAAGGCAGCTCAGGCATTTTTTTTACATGACGTGTAAATCTTGCCATTTTAAGTTAGTTACTTTTATCATATCTGGTATACATAAACAGCTGGCACTGAATTCCAGTCAAATTATAGTAATAGCGATCAGTTAGTTTTGTTGATATCTGAGTAATAGCGTTGTTTCATTGCTCTGTATTTCCTAAGGAAGTATAAGGCTTCTAGCTCTTTCATTACAAATTCGCCCCGTCCAATAAGTTCTTTGATCTTCTCTGGGTCCTTCACATCTTTGTTTTTAAGGAAAACATTCTTCAGACGCCTTTTAAAATAGTCTGCTCCTTTTGGATAGTCTCGTCCAAGATACAGCAGCTTAAAAAAGAAAGGTTACATATTTCTAAATCTGTATCTCAATAACATGTATAAAACTGGCAACATAATTACTTACATTTTTATAAAGATTCAGTACTTCTCCTCTTAAAGAATTGGCCATTTTCATTTATTATGGAAAGTATCCACTTTTATACATAACATACCTAAAGAAAAATAAAAATTTTTGTAAATAACTGCATTGTAGTCCCAAAAAAGAATCAAAGATTTTACACATTGGGAAAAAAATTTTTTTTTTCATTCAATAACTTATTGAGCACTTATGTTCCAAGCACTGGGAAATAGCTACGAAATGTCAGATACCTGCTGTCACAGAACATTTCCTGTGGGAGACATAATAAACAAGAGAATTATGAATTGTGTAAGTCCTATGAAGGGAAAGGGTAATGAGAGAGAAAATGACTTGTCAAAGATAGTTATGTTGGTGTATCTTCTTTTATACAGAGGGGAATGAATTAGATTTGAATCCCAGCTGCATAATGTTACACAGATTAAACTTTATGAGCTTCAGTTTCCTTACTATCGAAAGGAAGACTGTCTACGTTGCTCTCAAGGCAACATTTTCTAGTAGCCCATATTAAAAAATAAAACGAGAAATTATTTTAATACATTTTGTTCATATCCAAAATATTATTTCAGTGTCATGTTAGCAACATATCAGGTGCTTATAGGTATCAGTGGCTTAGTTGCCACCATACTGGACAGCACAGCTTTAGAGTATAGTTCCTGTGACAAGGACATTTTCCTACAGTACAACCATCAGAATAAGGAAGCTAACACTGCTACATTACCACGTCAAACCCACAACCCCTTCATGTTTTGGCAGTCATTCCAAAGATGCCTTTTATAGCAGAAAGTTCCTATCCAAGATTACACATTGCATTTAGTTTTCATGTCTCTTTAGCCTTCAGTCTGGAAACAATTCCTCAAGTTTCCTTGACTTCCATGAACTTCATACTTGTGAAGATCACAGGCCATTTATTTTGTAGAATAGCTGGAGACTACCACAGATGTTTAAAGTGCTCAGAAATAAGAGAGTAGCCTGGGAAGGGGAGCAAGGGACTGGAGAACAGGAAGGGATCAAAAGGCAGGAGGAGATCCTTGGGGATAATGGAGATGTTTATTATTGTGATTGTGGTGCTAGTTTTATAGCTGTATGTGTCTGTCAAATTAATCAAATCTATTTACACTTTAAGTATAACTTATGTCAATTATACCTCAGTAAAACTTTTAAAAAATTGGTGTAAATATGCTGGCAAATGTTAAGAGGAGGGCTGGGAGATAGTGAGGTACACATGGAAATGGAGATCTAAACTACAAGGCTGCCAGTTAGTGGTCAGGTTAGGTGGTTCAACCAGCCACCAGTCAAGTTGCATAAAACCAGGTATGCCTCTCTGGGGTGGGAGCCCTAGTTGTAAACACTTATTTTAAATTTTTAAAAAATATACTTGGAAGACTCCTGCTGCCGGAATGGCAGCTAAATGAAGTCCTTTTCATTTCATGGTGAAGTTCATAAATCTGATTCTCTGGCTTCTTTCTTAAGCGGGAGAAGAATCACATATGAAGAAACATTTCCATTTTAATTCTTACATAATTCCCCACTTTACTAGTAGTTTTTAAGCTAATTCATATAGCAAACATACAATGTAGCAGAACAGTTCTTTTTGAGCTTTCTTGAAATTTTCTGTTTTTCTCTGGATTGCTTTTTCTGCTTTTGTCTAGATTGCTTCTGAGCTTTCTTCCCAAGTCTGATTTTTTTCCCCCCATTTTTACAAGTGAAAGGACAAAAAAAGCTTTTTAGAAGATTACAGCTTAACAGACTGAGCCTCACTTAGGGATTATCTGAGTGCACCCTTTCCTTTTGGGGGAACCTCTGAAGTCAAAGTCATTCTTCCTGGACTGGCTGATCAGATTCACCAGAGAAGAAACTTCCAGTTTGCTGAGGATTTGCCTATTCAACCTTAAGAAATGGAAGAAGGATGGGGGCCTTGCATTCAGCATTACGTACACCAAATTTAATTTGTTTCCAGTGTGGTTCTCATGTACTTAGTATACCTGAGGACACCTCAGTGCATAGAATATTATTTAGTCAGAAATACATCTCCATGCTTCTGTGGAGTGAGAGGTGCAGTCCCTCTAGAGGTGTTTTTCAAATAGCTTGTAGTTAATCTCTTTGATTTACTTCATTCTTCATTTCCAATTCCACTGGCCCTGTTCCAGTGCCTTTTGAGAATTATGCAGTATAAATTGGGCTTTTCTGGTGTGTTGTCACATTCATTCATCTGGTTTGCAGCTTCCAAATTTTTACTGTTGTCATCTTTTTTCTCTCTCATTTTTTCAATTTATTTTTATATCATTTTACTGATGATCAGTGGAGTTTTGAAAAGAAATGAAATTAGAAGGGTACATTTAATCTACTATATTAACACCTAATTTCCATTTTAAAACTTTTTTGTTCGCTGAGAGCCAGTTTCTAGTGTGGTTTAATCTTATTGAAGAATGGTTCTTAAGAATCACATGCTTTAAAAATGATTCTAAATCGGGCGCCTGGGTGGCTCAGTTGGTTGGGCGACTGCCTTCGGCTCGGGTCATGATCCTGGAGTCCTGGGATCGAGTCCCACATCGGGCTCCCTGCTCGGCGGGGAGTCTGCTTCTCCCTCTGACCCTCTTCCCTCTCGTGCTCTCTCTCATTCTCTCTCTCTCAAATAAATAAATAAAATCTTTAAAAAAAAAAAAAGATTCTAAATCTACGTAGACATACTTTCAAGTTGCAAATTATAGCCTGTTAAATTTTCTGGCAAAGAACACAGCTTTATTTAAGTCAGAATTTATAATTTGTAAAAGCTTAAATTGTCCTTTTAAGCTATTGCCTTTTTTACAAATCATACATAATAAAGGATTTGCCCAGCAAAAAATGTAGCTGGTTTACTACCGTAAAATTGTCCTGTTCTTTGATATGTTAATTATAGAAATTAAGGCAGTTTATCATGATTTTATGTTGACCTTCAGGCTTTAAGTTTATTAGCCATTGGGAGAAAGAGGGCTCCTTGGGTTCACCTGGTGAGGTTAAAGTGCAGCAGGGACCTGGGGCTGCTCCTTAACCCTACATGAAGTCATGCAGGTTACTGCTCTTTGTAAAGAGCCAAGCTATTAGGGACTAAGAGAAGCCCCCTATCATTCTGAGAATGTGTGTGGTGGGCAAGGGGAAGGAGGTACAATCCCCATTGATGGCTTTTTTCCAATGACTGCAGGCTGAGAGAGTTGACTTCACCAACTCCAGTCCTGGGTTAACTAAGAATTGTCATTTTACTGGTGGCCAAAGCTGTTGTTAATCAGTCTTCCTCATGAAGTTCAGATGGCAATAAAAGTTGAAGGAAAATGGGCAAAGAAAGGCAGTGCAATGTTACCATTTATTGGTTTCTGATAAGATTTTGACTTCAAACAGCTGAAACACATTTCCCCAAACTAGTTAAGCCTAAGAAGCTTCACATAAAAAACTCTAACACCAGCTCCAAAGGATATGTCATCAGAGAGGTAGGTGGCAAAAAATTTTTGCCCCCTAAGGCTGGCATTTGGCTTGGTCGAGGCATACCTAGGAACCAGATTATAGAAGGGAGTTGAAAGGAGCTGGTTATGTGTATGTTCAGAATGGGTGGATACTGTGCTGGTCTGAAGGCAGAGAGAACAGGAAATCGCCCTTACACTTAGGCAGCTTGCAAGGGAAGTACTAGAGAGCCAAACTCACTGGTATAATTTTTACAGCACAGTGTCCCTAGAACAGTCTAGTATGTTCTTACACATCCCTAGCACTTCCTCCTCCCTAGGAGGGAGGCAGCATCCAGAGCGAGCTTGGGCAAGTCCTCTCCCCTAGAGGCGTACCATTTTAAGGTAATATGGGATTACCATTAACACCACTCTATGCCCATCAATCCTAATTGAGTTGACTGAGGTTTTATATCATAAACATTAGTTTGAAACACTCAAAAACTTCCATACCAGATGGCTTCAGAACTCTCTATGAAGTCGACATTAAGATGTTTTTTATCTTGCTACCAATCTGGATTTCTGTTACAATGGGGATTAATAACACTTCAGCCCACAAGACTAGCTTAGTAATCCTTATTTACTAATATATTTAGTCAATAAAGTTGGGAGAGAGCATTATACAATTAGAATTCAGAGATAAGAAATGCAACGATTTTAAAGTATTCAATGTTTTGTCATGCTAAAACAGGGCCATAAAAACCAGAGAATTGAGCATTTGGAAGGAGCTTAATTTCTTAATCACTTAATTTCTTCTAGTTTTCCTGTTGGTCTAAGTTGCCAATGTTTCTTCATGTGGGGAGGAGACTGAAATTCTGAAGGTTGTGCAACTGGCTACTACCATTAGCCTGTGACCTTGGGCTTAATGAGTCTTGCTGGGCCTCAGCGACCTTCAACTGTAGGAAATTCTTTACCCAGGAATCGCTTGAAGTAATTTCCAGTTCTTGTTTAGAGCTGCTCTTAGGAAAACCGGCTTGCAAAACATAACTTGCACAGAAAGTAAACTGAACCATGTGCAGAGAAGAATCCAAAGATCATTAATTTCAAAATAACCAACCCTCCTGGAACCAATTTATTTACCCCTTTCTCTAAATTGCCAATTGAACCTCGTCCCCACTCGGGCCTAAGGCAGGCCCGGCAGCCCACCCGGGTGTCAGTCACTTCACCCAATCGCGTAGCCGGCGTCTCCCTTCCTTCTGGAAACCCCTCACAGAAAGACCGGCCCCAACACACTCCTAGGGAGGAAGAGAGACTGTCAACGTCAGAAGACGTTCAGAAACCCTATGCCACACCCGGTAGTCCCTGCCCAGACCATACTTCACCGCCTCCAGACCCCGGCATCTGGAAAACAATAAAACGTCCCGGCTGCCGCACTCACGCACTTTCCGGCATTCCACAGTCGTAAAGGCCTCCGACCGCTTCGACTCCGGGGTCTGTCAACAGCGAAGCAGGGCGGGTGTTGGTGTGAGGCAGCCAGTCAGAGAAGGGGGCGGGGCGCCCCACGGAAGAACCCCGGCGCGATTGCGCGGACCCGTACGCGAGGATTTGCGCTCTTTCCCTTGGGGCAAGTGGGCGGGGCTTGTCGTCCTGACAACCCGGGAGCGTTCGTCCACATACTCTGAGCTCCGATTTGGCCGACTGTGGAGGCTGTGCTGGCTGCAGAATGGTGAGCTGGGAAAGTGGGGGACCCAGGTGAAGAGGCGAGCAGTGATTCACCCGTGTTAAATGATGTAATAAGAGCCTGACATATGTTAGAGGGGAGCGGGTGGGTTTAAGAAAGAACCCTTACCCCTGTGGGAAATTGGCCTTCTGATCCCGTGGCCTTACCGTCCGGGATCTCAGGGACGGATGGGAGTCTCAAACCGGTTTCTGCAAATGAGGGATGACCAGTGCGGTCAAATGGTGTCCTAATCTCGCACTGTTGCTAGGTTTAAGAATTGGCCTCAACCTGGTAACTTCCAAGAATGATAGACGTTTCCATTAAATTGCTTTTTTCATTGGCAACTTGGCGAAAATGTGTTTTTGTGCCTCCTCGGTAGTTAATTAAAAGCTGTTGCAGTTTATTCTGCTTTGGGTAGTCATTTTATGTGATATTTTGTGGAAATATGAATTGTGATTCAAATTACTCAGCTTGCCTTGAATTTGTTAAATATAATAAAGCTGCTTGTTTTGTCTTAATGCACTCCTCAGCTGTTTTGTCTTTTTCCAGAACACAGACCAACCTGCCCCTTATGAGATGATCTCTGTTCCCATTTTCTTAAATGTGACTTCCATTTTATGTGGTTAAAACCAAAGGAAGCAGAAAATGTATTTAATTATTTAATTCATTAATTAAAGGGAAATACGGACTACGTTCTTTGTGTTTGACACTAGGCTAGAAGTCAAGGATCTAAAAGTGAATATTATGACCCCTCCCTGCTGTGGAAGACAGGCTAAACTAATAAGAATACAGTTTTTTAACTGTAACACTTGAAATGTCTACAATGGATTAAGATTAAGTTGGGAATGATGAAATTGGGGTGGGAAAGGGCACCGAAAGGGAAGAGCAGTGCTTTTCAAACTGTGTTTTAAAGTATGAGTATGAATTTACCAGAATTGATGGACAATGTTCATGTCAGGAAGAACAGGAAGTAAATGGACTTTAAGCTGACTTAAAACTGCTGGTAAATTGAGGGAACAATAAGCCCCTATTTATTTTCCAATGGAACATAAATTTCATCTTATCCATCTAGCAATGTTTCTCAAAATGTCCCTGGAACATTTGCTTCTACCACATCTGGAATACTTGTTAAGATGCAGATTCTAGGAACAGACTGGACTCCAAACAAACCTACTGTACCAGTTTCCTAGGGCTGCCAAGTAACAAAGTAAACAAAGTGGCTTAAACAGTAGAAACTTACGGTTGCACAATTCTAGTGGCTGATAAATCCAAGATCAAGATGTTTCCAGGGCTGTGCTCCCTCTGTGGGTGCTAGGGAGGGATCTGTTCAGACCTTTTTCCTAGCTTTTAGTAGTTCCTTGGCTTGTGGAAACATACCCCCATTCTTTATGTGGTGTTCTGTGTGCGTGTCTGTGTCCAAATTTCTCCTTTTTATTAGGACACCATATTGGATTAAAGGTTATTCTATTCCATTATGATCTCATCTTAATTTAATTACATCAACAACAACCCTGGTTCCAAATAAGGTAAAATTTGGAGGTACCGGGGAATAGGATGAGAAAGCAGTTCAATCTATAATGTCTACTGAATTGCAGTGGGGAGGGGAAGTGTGTACACTTCTACCACAGGAATATGCATTTTTAAAAAATTTTTTATTGTTATGTTAATCACCATACATTACATCATTAGTTCTTGATGTAGTGTTCCATGATTCATTGTTTGTGCATAACACCCAGTGCTCCATGCAGAACGTGCCCTCTTTAATAGCCATCACCAGGCTAACCCATCCCCCCACCCCCTCCCCTCTAGAACCCTCAGTTTGTTTCGCAGAGTCCATCGTCTCTCATGGTTCATCTCCCCCTCCGACTTACTCCCCTTCATTCTTCCCCTCCTGCTATCTTCTTCTTTTTTTTTTTCCCTTAACATATGTTGCATTATTTGTTTCAGAGGTACAGGTCTGTGATTCAACAGTCTTGCACAGTTCACAGCGCTCACCATAGCAGGAATATGCATTTTTTTAACAAGCCCTCTGATCTTTGAGAACTACAGTTGACTCTTGAATAACACTGGTCCACTTTGAACTGCGGGAATCCACTTATAGGCAGATTTTTTTTGATAAATACAGTACGATACTGTTAATGTATTTTTTCTTATCATTAATATTTCTTTTCTCAAGCTTATTTTTTATTGCAAGAATACAGTATATAATACATATAACATACAAAATATGCGTTAACTGTTTATGTTATCAGTAAGTCTTCTAGTCAACAATAGGCTATTAATAGTTAAGTTTTGGGGGAAGTCAAAAGTTATATGTGGATTTTGCCTGCATGGGGTTGGCATCCCAACCCCTCCGTTGTTCAAGGGTCAATTGTACTATACTACATGATGCTCTTTTTATGATTTGCAGGAGGGGTTAGGATAAGTACTAATCCCGAACCCACTTCACATTAAAGGCACTAGTGAGAGATGATAATTTGCCCATCTTAAAATATCACTACTTGAGAACAGGAGCAATACTGTTTGCATATTCTGCTGTATAGTACTTATTTCAAGATGGGACTGTATTAACTATTAATTGATAGTAAATACGATGATAAAAATAGAACCCAACTGTAAAAATTATGTGAGCAAAGTCTCTACTATTCCTCTTTATATCATCTCCAGTGTCCCAGAGCACCCTGTGTGCAAATCATTAATAAATATCTGCTGAATGAATTAATGAAATATATGTACCTTCAAGAAGATAAAATCTGCTTCATGTCAGTTTCAACATTTATATTTAATACAGTTGATAATCTTATAGCTTGAACCAGTAATTTTTCCTGGATAAGTTGTCAAATATGGAATGTGTATAATCTTATAGTCACATGATCTTCTACAGATTCCTTATCAGAAATCTAATGGACACATGAGCCTAATCAGGAAATTGCAAGTAGTGTTAATTGAAAAACACATGTAATGATAATGCTAATGGTAAATATTTATTGCAATACTGTGCTTTCCAAATTAATTTCCAAAGAAGAATAGATCTGCTGAAGAGAATCATTTTATCATAGCTTTGCCTGCTTTAAATAACTGATTCTTTTTCTAGAAAATCAGCAATCTAATTTTTCAGAAAGATGATTTATTTATGAGATCATTTCCACACTTTCAAACTTGACATCAGTGCCTGTATTTTAGTCAATCACTTATTGTTCCTTGGAACCCTTTAAACCAGTATCTCCCTGACTGCTACTTCTTTGTAGTGGTAGGTCATTTCATTATGCATAGGTCATTGACTGTCACAAGAAAGAGTGTAAGATTTAAAGAGTGTATAATTTAAAAAAGGTGCTTCAGTGGGTGAACTATTTTTGTTTTTCCTAGACCTGCTTGTAGTTTTGTCTAAATTCTTTTTAAAAAGACTTTATCTTGAGATAATTTTAGTTTTACACAAAAGTTGCAAAGATGATGCAGTTTCCTTATGCTTTTTACCCGCCTTCTCCTAATTTTCACATTTTATATAATCTTGTTACTTTTGTTAAAAATATCTGAGTTTTAAAAAAATTTATCAATCCTTTTGTTTTTCCAACTTTCAGGGTCCCAAAGCAAAAAAGGTAGGTAGAAATTATTCTTTCAAAATAGTTTTATAAGCACTGACATTGTATGAACAGAATTTTTAAACATTTTTCTAGTTAGTTTTATTATAATTTATAATAGGATTTACTAAGCTTACTTTTTAGATTATTACTGCTATTTATTATTTTTTTAATTATGTTATCTTAATCACCATACATTACATCATTAGTTTTTGATGTAGTGTTCCATGATTCATTGTTTGCATATAACACCCAGTGCTCCATTCAATATGTGCCCTCTTTAATACCCATCACCAGGCTAACCCATCCCACCACCCCCTCCCCTCTAGAACTCTCAGTTTGTTTCTCAGAGTCCATAGTCTCTCATGGTTTGTCTCCCCCTCCGATTTCCCCCACTTCATTCTTCCCTTCCTGCTGTCTTCTTCTTCTTTTATTTTAACATATAATGTATTATTTGCTTCAGAGGTACAGATTTGTGATTCAACAGTCTTTCACACTTCACAGCGCTCACCATAGCACGTACCCTCCCCAATGTCTATCACCCAGCCACCCCATCCCTCCCATCCCCCACCACTCCAGCAACCCTCAGTTTGTTTCCTGAGATTAAGAGTTCCTCATATCAGCGAGGTCATATGATACATGTCTTTCTCTGACTGATTTACTTCGCTTAGCACAATACCCTCCAGTTCCATCCATGTCGTTGCAAATGGCAAGATTTCATTCTTTTTGATGGCTGCATAATATTCCATTGTGTATATATACCACTTCTTCTTTATCCATTCATGCTGATGGATATCTTGGCTCTTTCCACAGTTTGGCTGTTGTGGACATTGCTGCTATAAACATCGGGGTGCACGTACCCCTTCGGATCCCTACATTTGTATCTTTGGGGTAAATACCCAGTAGTGCAATTGCTGGATCATATGGTAGCTCTATTTTCAACTTTTTGAAGAGCCTCCATACTGTTTTCCAGAGTGCCTGCACCAGCTTGCATTCCCACCAACAGTGTAGGAGGGTTCCCCTTTCTCTGCATTCCCGCCAACATCTGTCATTTCCTGACTTGTTAATTTTAGCCATTCTGACTGGTGTGAGGTGATATCTCATTGAGGTTTTGATTTGAATTTCCCTGATGCCGAGCGATGTTGAGCACTTTTTCATGTGTCTGTTGGCCATTTGGATGTCTTCTTTGTAAAAATGTCTGTCCATATCTTCTGCCCATTTCTTGATTGGATTGTTTGTTCCTTGGGTGTTGAGTTTAAGAAGTTCTTATAGATTTTGGATACTAGCCCTTTATCTGATATGTCATTTG